CTTGTATATAGCAAGCTGGCTTAGAATTCAATATGTAGCCCAGGCTGGTCTTGTACCTCCTTCTCCACTCTCCTGAGTGCTGGATGTAGGTGTGCACCACTGTACCTGTCCATGGACATGTATTTTATTCAGTTGTCAAAATCTCTGCCTAGGCAGCGTCTGCAGTATTTGATTAAGGAAAGATAAAAGGATAAACTAAGGAGTGACCTGACCCAAGGAAGGTGTTTACCTAAGACCTGTGTCACCTTTTGTCTCTTTCTTCCTGAGAAAACGTGAGCAACTGAATACAAAGAGGTAAAAGCCCAGAACTTCTTGTAGGTGGTTTCTTTTTGATGTATTGTCCTTACATATTGCTTTTGGAGTTTGTTTTTCTGCTGTAATTTTAGGGGTTTTTTTCCTATATGCAAGTGCAAACAGATGACATGTTTGTTGTAAAGGCCTTCCGTGTAAAGGTGAGAAATAGGTAAAGTAGGAGTTCTATTCTTTAAGATAGGCAAGGTGGAATAGGACAGCAGTAGCAGGGCTAAAGAAGGGAAAATGGGAAGAAAGTGACAAGGGTCAAGAATTTGATGTATACCCTGTGACCATCCACTAGTTAGACAGAGTGTGACTTAAAGGCATATTCAAACCACTGCTGGAGACTTGGCAGTGGTGGAGCATGCCTTTAATTCCAGCACTCGGGAGGCAGAGGCAGGTGGATTTCCCTGAGCTCTAGGCTAGTCTGGTCTATAAAGAAAATGCCAGGACAGCCAGGAATATACAGAGGAAACTGACTTGAAAAACAAACAAACAAAAATCACTGTTGGTTTTGTGGTGGTCACAGCATTGCATTTGTTTTGAAATTTGGAGGGCACAAGGTATCATTAATTTAAGTCATACCTGTTGTTCTTTTGTTTACGATTACTATAACTAGATGGAACACGAGAGATACAAGAGATACGTTAACCATAGAGTTTGTTACAGGGTGGGAGGGGGAGAGAGGAGAAGAGAAGAGGAGGGGAAGAGAAGAGAGCATTGGGTAAGTGAGTGTAAGTGGGTGGGGGACGGTCTCTTAAAGTGGTCCTTTAAATCTGCATGCAGGCTAGTACTCATGGAACCCTGGGCTGACCAGAGTACTGCCTGAGTGCATTCTGCCAAGTAACAGGGGCAGGTCAGTATGATGTCTGAACCTCTCATTCTCACCTTTACGTATGAAAAAGGTGAGGAGTTAGGCATGACAGGCTAGGGGATAAGGACTTCAAGTTTTCAAGACTACTTCCTGCAGACCTGTGGGGCGTTGAGCATCTTTGGGGGACCTCAGAAAACTGGGGTGTTGTCACGTCCTAGAGTAGCTGGTTGTTCCATCACAGTCCAGGCTATATGGAACTCTGACTCTGACGCCTCTTAGACCTAGCAAAATGTTAGCAGAGTAGAGGACAAGGTTAAGTTTAGAAAAAAAGGGTTTTTTCCTTAGATTCTGGTACTTAAGGGAAGGATGGTAAAATGATAGAGGTGTTCCTGAGGAGGTCCCAAGATGAGGAAAGAGACTCTGGGACCAGGGAAAGGTTTAATAATATCTGGAGTGAATCTGACCTGTTTGGGTAGGTCCAATTCAGCTCCCTGGAACTTACAAGAATCCTTTGAGTTTGTGAAAAATGTAAGTATTAGACACATTAGCAGCATATTTATGTTAGAAGCCACTTGGCTGAAACATTAGCATTTTTAAAATTGACATTTTTTACCATAATAAAAAGTACCTTAATCTTGACCTTGCAGTTATGATCATATATGGTATAGTTTGATGTTTTCTACTATGTCAGAGTTGGATTAGTAGCTTATCAGAACTTTATTGATTAATGTTAAGACTGTGAACAATAGCATAATTAAAGAGAGAAATCTAGAACATATTTCATTCTTTTTAATGTCTCAACTCACTTTGTCATCACTTAAGCCATTTTATGATCTTGAGACCTTCATAACTTTAATTCATGCACCTTACATTACCATCTTATATAGATAAACCTTAAAATACCTATTCCTGAAATCTGTTTTGTGACAGTTGTAGCTTTTCCTGTTGCTTTAAGCTGGCAAAGCTACCAGTTGGCTAAAGCATCAGAATTCTTGAGAAGGATAAAGTTTTACCTGAGTTAATGATTAGAGAATGAGAGAGACTTGCTAGCTGGCCTCATGGACAGCCACTAGGTCCTCCATAGTTGTTAAGGGCAAAAGGCTTTAAGGAGACCTGCCTTCTGCTGATAGCATCGGATCTGTGGATTGGGAACTTTAGGAAGACTTGGCTGCCTTTGGCCCAAACAATGTGGAGAAAGTCGATTCCACTGTCCTTGTTCATGGTCTGAAGAGTCTTTTGCAGCAGTTGAGATAAATTAACCAAAAGAAAACCTAATCTAACCCATAGGAGTAGTAAAAAAAGAGTGGATGTGCTCTGCTTGAGTTGCTTGAGGAAAAGAGAACAGAATCTTTGGTCTGACTAGACAGAGTTGCTAGTTCCTTGCTGGTACACATCCTTGGGCCAGCATTCAGACTTCCCATTCATGGCTTCCTGATGGGTCAAGCAGAGGTGATCATTTCTTCAAGAGCTGATAGGAGCATTAAGTGCTGAACACCTACACCTACCAATTGCCTGGAACACTGCAGATGTTGGCAGGAGACCACAGCATCCTGAGTCACCGTGTAACATGAAGTAAATGATGGACAGACTATATCCTGCACAGGGCTAGGCATACACTCTACTCATGTCTCTAGTTTTCACATTTGAAAGGGATTTAGAAGAATGCTCTTTAGGAGAAAATGTAATGCCAGAATGTTAAGGACTGTCCTGTTTCCACATTTCCAAACTGAGGGGCTTTTCTGCTGCTTTTCCTTTGCATTTGTATTCTCACGTGTGTGACTATTTATCCTCACTTAGCTGAAATAACTTTGAATTGCAGCCACTTGCTCTCCTCTGTCTCTGTGGTGAGATCCTTTGCCAGCTCCAGTGGTCCAGTTATAGGTCCTAAACAGTGAAAGAGGGATATCCCCCACCCACTAGGTTTAAGGCACAGACTTGAAATGTGAAAGGAAGGCTATTAGACTTTTGCTACTGCTTTGCACCATGGAGGGTACTAACACAAAGTCTGCTGAGCTGCAGGAGTTTTATTCTTCCCATCTTTATTGTCATGGACCGTGAAGGCTTTCTCCCTATCCCCTGTGCCAGGCCATACTTCTACCCAAGTCATGTTCTGTGTGTGGCACATGCTCATCTCCTCAGAAGTTACTTAAGCACTTTTCCTAAATCTCTCCAAGTTGTTTTGCCCATTGAACTCTTCCTGCTCCTACACACCAGGTCTGTCATGACAGCTATTAGCCCTATACCAACATGACTGCTACCCTCACTGATAGTTAATACTTCCCGAGGGCAGAAACCACATCCTGCTTCCTGATGTTTTTGTACCTGCTGGGCTGAGCATGTAATCTATGCACATTCACAGTTTCAGGGCTGTTGGCTGAAGGAATACCTTGCTCATCCTAGCAAACATTCCTCTTCTTGCTGTTTTGTGTTCTTCTATAGATATGACCAAGATTCTTCTTGGAATCTGCAGACAGGAAAGACTTCTAAAGGGCAAGAGAGTTATAAATAAGGACTACTACTCAGTCTTTAGTACTCTTTTGCATAACTCAAAAACATGATTGAAAACCAGCACTTTACATTAACAGTGGCATCTGGGTGACTTTCATGACAGAAAGACTTAAAACTGTACACTTCCACATGACTTAGATTAACATTGTACTTTCATTGTTGTTCATCAGTAGATTATTGAAGAAAGGTATATATTCAGATTAAGAAATCTGACATATTTATTTCTTAGATTTTTGTCAAATATAAAAAATTAGACTTTTGTTTAAATCCATCTATATTTGTTGGCTGCGATTAACACAACAAAGCATTCCACATTGGACAGTTCAAGCAACAGGGATGTAGAAGGGGGAAACCTGACATGTAGGAGTCAACAGAGTTGGTTTCTCCTGAAGCCTTTCTCCTGGCTTGTGGGAAGCTACCTTCTCCAATGGTCTTCACCTGGTCATTCCTCTGTGTTTCTGTGTCCCAATCCCCTCTTATAAATCTGTCCTGGAGAACCAGTCCAGCCACTAAAGGCTAAGGCTCACAACTGACATCTCCAGGGTAGCAGTCATGTTGGATCAGGACCTATCCTAATGACCTTTTCACTTAAATTACCTCTTTAAAGATCCCATGTCCTGGAAATTAGAGCTTTCTCATGAGTTTTGTGAGAAACTTCTGCTTATAACAGGGACAATTTAGATAATACATGAAGGCAGGACACTTTATTGCCTGAAGTTATGCAGAGCAGTGTGATGAGAGCTAGCCATCAAACCATGCTTGTATGTCAGGCATAGAGAAAGCCACCACTGTTTGAGTAGCAGAATTTGATAAACTAGGTCCAATTACTTCAAGCTAAGAAAAGGCCTCACTCCCTCTTAGGAAGTATCCTGCCAAATTTAATGACTGAAAATAGAAATTATAAATTCATAAGAAACAGGGGAGAGGTTACAAAATTAATTACTTCTGCAGTTAATCAGAATAAGGCCTTCCAAATATAGCAGCTGTCCATGCATGTAAGACTATGTTAAATTTGGTAAGTAGTTTACAAAAACTGTTCAAAGTAAAACTGCATTCTATCCAGTCTTCTGATGAACAGGACATGTAAGAGTAAGGTTAAAGGTAGGAAGCTTGGTGGAAAGACCTTACTTAATTTCCCTAATGTTTTGAGAAGTACCTGAAGTTCCATCAGATGAGTCCAAGCAACTCATCTTTTGAGTAGTCTTCTGTGAATGGTAAAGGAAAACTCTGGGAAGACTAATGAAAGCCTATTGTTGTGCTGGTTCTTAAACCAAGTATTCAGAAATTATTTTCCCATAAACTTAGAAATCCTGAATGTTTGAATTTTGGATCTACAACTATTTAAAAAATATTTCTTTCCCCCCTCTCTCCTTTGTCATTGTAGCTCATGTTTTTTGGAATTTTCCTGTGCCTCGATGCCTTTCTGTATGTGTTCACCCTGCTTCCTTTAAGAGTCTTCCTGGCACTGTTCAGGCTCTTCACTCTGCCTTGCTATGGCCTACGGTAAGTTTAGATCTTTGACTATTTTTAGTGTCTAAACAATTTTGTTACTTTTATAACTTGTAGGGTTCTTAGAATAAAGATGATTCATGTAGTTTCATTCACGGGTCTTTAAACACTGCTTATCTGGTCCGTTTATATTATATAATATTACACATTTGCATTGTTTTCCAGAGAGATTTTGAACTAAAATGTTGCTTTAGCCAGTGAACTGACACTGATGTGGAGGGCAGTGTGGGCGAGTAGTAGAGACACAGGACCGAAAGTAGAGACTGACTGACCATGCTCTGAACCTTCCTCCTTCCTGTGTGTGGATTTTGGGGCCTCCTGGGATGCATTTATGAAAGTTCCAGATTCTAGGCTAGGGAGGTGGATATCAGAATTCCCTAAGGAGCCCTTACTGCAGGCTTCCTCCTCTAGTACACTTGAGAATTGCTTTGTGGCCTATGAAACCATAGTCACACACTGCTGGCTGATGACAGTAGAGAACGCCATAAAGGCATCATTCTGATAGGAAAGGTAAGGCAGCCTCAACCAACTTGCATCGCTAGTAGGCTATGGTGAGTGCCTGCCTCCCCTAAGCTTGTTTCTCATCTGACAAAAGAAGATATTGAGAGCTCAGTACCTGTCCCCAGAAACCGGGAAATAAAAAAGCATGTCAACCAGCAGAGTGCCTTGACTACAGCATCCTATAATGCCAGCCCAATGCCTGCTTGCAGCACCCAGGAATAAATACCAGGTTCTTTCACTCCACCAAACAGACAGGTGGACTGTAAAGCCTATGCGAAGCTTATATACTTTTGATTTTCAGGTGAGTAGGAAGTTTGATTTTAGAGTTTTACCTTCTTAACAGTCACGTCAACGTAACTCCACTCTGTAATCACCCTTTACAAACTACTGTTTAGCTTTAGCATCGTTGTTTGAGTTACAACTTTAACAAGTGTCCTTTTGTAATTTTTTTTAAAAACTTTCTTTTTCAGTTTGAGATTTTAAAATGCTGAAATGGACAATAATTTGTGAAATTTCATTTAATCATAGTGAATGTTTAATGAAACATTACACTTCGAATTATAGTTTAGCCACCAAAACTGGGTTAAAAAATTACTAGTACATATTCAAAATTGTGAATTTTGTTTAAAAGACTAACGTCACAAAGAAGTTTCTTTTGAAGTAGAAAATGAGCCTATACTTAATAGTAAATACAGTCCTTTCAAATGAGCCTTAATCCATTTGATAAGTAAGAAATGCTTCCAATGTCAATAGAAATAATATGATGATCAGGTTGTGAAAGGAATAAAAATGGACTCTTAGCAAGATTGCAGAGAATAAAACAACTGTAGGAGTTCAGCCTACTTCAGTGTTATAGAAGTTAGTATTTTGTGTCTATAACCCTTCTCATCTTCCAGAATGATAGGAATTATGCCATGTGTTTTATTAGTCACACGTTAACTAGATGGGGAGATTGTTTTAGTAGTGTAAGCACCAGCTTAGGATCTGTCGAGTATTTCCTTTGCTCTGATAGAGTTCTCAAGGAGGCTTGCTCTCATTAGCAGCATCTACGGGCCTTTTCAGCACTGTTTACTGCCACAGCCTCACCTTCAGGTGCTGCTTTCTGTATTGAGAGCTTGGGGAGATCATGGCATTTTAGTTACCTTTTCACAAGCCAAAAAAAAAGTCAATAAAATGCTGCCAATTGCAAATCTTCACGTGTGATTGCACAAAGAGGGTGAATACTGTGAAATTAGATTATCCAATGCAACAATTTGACATAAAATACCTAAGGTACTTTGTGATCGAGGTTATTGCTTGTTAATTATTCCATGGTCAGCAGGGTTAAACAGGTTCATAGTCTACCTGTGGCCTGCTCTGATCAGCTGTAGACACCCTCAGGTGAAGAATTAAAAGTCTATAACCTAGACTGTTCCTTCTGGATTGGTTCCTCCGTTTGTTTGTGACATACACTGCCTGACAGTGGCATGTCAGTGTTTTCAAGAGTCTATTGTGAGTGAAATTCATCTTATTTGAAGACACTTCTCGTTCTTCAGGTACCTAGTACTGTTTTATGTTCAAAGTCATTTCTGTGTTTCTCTGGCAAATTGGGGGAGTAGGACATGTAAGTAGCATCCAGAATGGCCTTTCCATTCTGAATATTAAGAGGTATTGCAGAAAATAGGAATTCTTAAATCATTATTCCGGTTTGCTTCTCATAACTGATTGGTGCTTCCTATAGTCAACCTTTTTATAAATAGAGTAAACTTTTTAACACATAACAATGATTGCTCTAAAAAAATTAGTTTGAAGCATTTTTCAGTCTAAGTTAACTTCAGTCACATTTGAAAAGTGCTTTCTATTTCCATGGTTTTATACCTAAGAGGACTGTAGGGGGCAGCCTATTATAAGCAACTTCTAATATGTCTGCAGTGTAGGTTAACTGAAGAGCTACATTTCCTACTATCACTCATATGTATATGATAAATGAAACACAAGAATGAATTTAAAATTGTGTAGCAGAATTTCAACCATGGAAACCTCTATATGAGCAGGCAAGATAACAGAAAATATGAAGTATTGCTTTTAATATCTTAGTACCTTCAGTATTCTGTATCTTAAGTTAAACAGTGTGTGTTTAAAGTAATGTGGGCCACAGTTTATTTTCTCTGAACAGTGAAAATAATTTCTCTGTTGATTTTTTTAAAAGCATGGAATTGAAAATATACTGTGAAAAGTGACTCTGAACAAAACTACTGTTAATATTATACCTACAACCTTTCAATTATCTAGAATACGCAAATACATTTTATTTTTACAGAATTATTTAGGAATAATCAAATTCTTCTGTCTTGCAGTTTCCCTTCCAATGTTGTCTATCTCTGTTAAAGATTATTTATTTGTTTTGCCTATAGCTGTTTCATATTCCATCTTTTTCAGCAAACAAAAAGTGCTCTTTCCTTCAGTCTGACTTGAAACCTGCAAAGAAGTTGATTGAATGCTTCTCCCCAGCTGTTACCATTCTCATGTCTTCTGCTTTAGTATTTTGTGAAAAAAAAAAGTATCTTTCTAGTCTCTTTGTTTTTTTTTTTGTTTTTGTTTTTGTTTTTGAAAATAGAAGCAGGCTGTGTTTGTTAATTAAATCCCAACATGGAAGCAGTAACCATGAATAGCAGGGCAGAGAATCAGCAGTAGCAGGACGTGTTGTCTTTTGTCATCATTGCCTGTAGTGAGTTTCCACCTCCTCTGCCTGAAATTCTCTATGGTTAACATCTGGGAAAGGCTTTTTAAAGTGAATGATTCCCCTGACCCAGAGTTTCTGCTTTGAGGCTATTCCTAGATCTTTTGCTATCTTGATGTGTTTTTTGGCTTTGGTTTGAAGTTTGAGTTTTTGTTGCCACTTCTAACAATTGAGTGAACAGAGACATTGCCTTTTAACAAAGGGTGAGAACCAGTAAGCTTTTGTAGTCTTTTCAGTAACTCAGTCTTCATTTTGACTGCCTAGTCAGCAGATCATTTTGCCAACCCTCTCAACCAACTAAAACGGTGTTCTTTGGAGGATGTTGTGGGATATAAGTCCACAGTGGGGTGTAAAGGATGCTGCACTGCTGTAGAAAGTTTATAACACTTCTCAGTGGTCTTAGGAAGACTTGGTTGATTCTATTTCTGATGAATTAGTAGTTTTAACCCCTGCACCCCTGCTACCCAGTATATAATGAGAGAGACAGACACAGAGACATCTAGGGTCATGAGAAGTAGGTTCTTTTTCTTTCTTAGATAGGGTAAGATAGCTTCATTTAAGAGAAGATTAAGATGATGTTTTCAATGACTGAAGGCATACAAACAGTTGTGTTATGATACATTATATGAGATATCTGGGTTTATCAAATATCTAAGTTTAACATACTCCAAGTTTGTGAAATATGTTAAAAAAATAGCATTATATGGGTAATTTGAGTAGTATCAGTGTGAAGACTGTCTCTTCCTAAAACTTCCATTATTTTTATGCTTTAGATTTCTGTCATACTTAAGTTAAATGTTGAGTGAATTTGTAGAGGAAAATGGTGAAATGTAGAGCCCAGAACTGACAGCTATTAGTAAAGAAAGCTCTGATGAACATTGTACAGTTCGAAGTGAGTTAGGACTAGATTTAGGAATGCTAGAGTATTTTTCTTTAACAATTAGAGTAAATAAAATTGGGCAAACAAATTTTCCTATCCCTTGTCTTGGTTTTAGACATGACTCTTATCGAAGGCTTTATTTATTTCTTTTCTTGTTTTAGGAAAGGAGAGTATCTTTTCTTTTGAAAATTGACCCCATAGGAGAGTTCTTATCTCCCAAACTTTTTGAGTTTCTTCACCTGTTGACTTTCCTCCATGTGCTTTACCTCATTCAATATAGTTATGCTCAAATTAACATATGTGCAATATAAATAGTCTTTTCTCTTTTCATACAAAACCAAGCCTTTGAATCTGGCCTGAGTAACTTTAAATGCCACCACAAGAGTGTATCGAGAGTTCTTAGTGTCTTTGTTGGGGAAACAAGTACGTCCATTACTTCCTCTTCCCAGGGCTGACGGTGGCGCACCAGTGAAAAGCAGTATACTGGTACATAGAAAGCCTTCCTAGCATCAAGAGTTGTCATCCCATGTTCCTCAACATGGCGCTCTAAGAAGCGTAGCAACATTACAACCTTCTCTCTTTCTTTCTCTCTTGTAAATCAGACCGAAGGGAGGAGCACTTTCACTTCCTTTATAGGATGGAGTGTGGTGGCACAGGGACTCCTTGTGGTGAGTAAACCCTGATTTTCCTTCTATATTCCTGGCCAAATTGACCTCAATTCAAAAGCAAAAGCGCCCCCATAGGCCACATAACCATCCGAGGATGGAAGCACACTGAGGAAATGTGATTCCCTGACCTTCAGGAGCATCCTCACGTTTGTCCACATTTATCCCAGTGTTTGACCATACTGTCACCCATGACAGTCACCTGTGATGTATGAATCACTAGTGACTTTTGTGGGTCTCTGTGCAACAAACACCTCATTCTTTGCCCTAGGGCTCAGCCCAGCTGCTTGTTGTTTTTAGAACCATCTTGTATTTTATTTGTGTTATTCCAAATACAAGCAGCTCCAATAATCAGCCACTTCATTTTAATGTAATTAACTTAAGGTACAAGAAAAGATGTTAGCCATCCAGTCTAAAGTGCTAAGAGATCAGTTTTTTACTGTGTGTCAATCAAACTTGAAAACTATTCAGTTCCCAGTTCAGGAAAGCTTCTTGATCTTAGTACTGTAGTTTGCTTTAAGATTTTAAGGGACTTCGCCTCAAAATGTGAGCCACGTGAATTACATAGTTTTTAAAATTTCACTAGTACTTGTCCTTCTCTACCCTTCAGTCACACACATATGTTACAGTGAAATGAGTCATGCTGACACCTGGCCTGTGTCCGTGGCTTGAAATTAATTACCTGGGCATCAGGGCTCTGCTGGCTGAGTTGTGGTTGCCTCTTCCTTCTTGATCTTGCTAGTACCAGTTTCACTTACACAGTAGAGTACCAAGGGTGGGGATGCCTCCCGGGGAGCATCATTCTCTGCCACATAATTCTCCTTCAATGGATCTATGAGACTTTAAATAGCTCAGGGGTGTATAATGTGTAATAGTAAAGTGATTGTCATTTGTAATAACTGCAAAAGTATAGTGGAAGTATTTTCTTTTAACTTGAGTATCTTTTAAATTATGTTGAATATCTTATTTTTATTTTATGTTCTTATTTAATCTTGTCGTGCCATGGCATGCAATCAAACCATTATTCAAAGTTAAATTAGATTAGTGTGTTGTTTTTCTTTTTCTTTGTCCAGCATGCTCTTGAAATTTCCAGCATTTGCAAAAGGAACTGCCCATAACTGTTCTTTAACAGCCATAGTAACTAGAACAGGTGCCCATTCCAGGTTGATTGGCAGCATTATAGATAAGCTTCTTACGGAGTTTGTAATGCTTACTGATAGTCATCTAAAAATATCATGGCAGAGAGGAGCAAATGCTGTTATTGGTTCAAGTTGTTTTGATTAGATAAACTCATTTGTGAGGTTAGGTCTTGGATAAGCTGTGATGCATGCAGGTGTCTTGTAAGATGCCATTTGAGAAGTGGTTTTGTTGGTTTGTTTTCGGTACTTTCCTTTTTTACTAACATGCGGAACATGTTTACAGGGGCTGTAGAACAAGTGTTATGTTGTTTTTGAAACATGTCCTTAATTTTGAAAACCTGTAATCACTATAGTAGCAGAAGATTTCACCAAAGAAGTTAGGGACAGATAGCTGAGTAACCAGTGTGGTATATTTTGTTATGTATTTTAATTGTATATTTAGAAATTAATAAAATGTTTGTTTCTTAACACAATATCTTTCCAAATGATAAATGGTATAATGTTAAGTTTACCGGCAAGCAGAAAGCAATGAGTCTCTGATTCATATCAGTTTAGAGGTTCACTGAAAGTCAGTGGTTGTAAAGAGCTGTGCCTGCATTGATCCTCCCATTATGTTCCCTAACCATCAGGGTGGCAGCAACCACCCATAGCCAGAAATGCAGGACTATTTCAGCAGGTCTCCTCTTGATATTTGAACTAGAAATGTGTTTGCCCTTGACAGAATCACTGCTCCCAGTTCCCAGCTTTGTGTAGAGTAAGACATGAAATCCCCTGGATTATTGTTAGCCCTTGGCAGAGAGGTGTGCTCTAAGTTGGTTGTGTGGGAAGTGTAAGATAAACTTTGCCCTGCTGTCCATAAGAATGAGTCCATAATCTTTGTGGGACAGAGGGGATCAGCATTGGAGAAAGGAAAGTCCAGGTAAAAGTAAGTAATGATAGCATTTGTACACTGGATGTACTTCTGCCCAGAGCTCTAACTTGAACTGCACAGAATGATCAGAGTTCTCCATCTTTTGGTGGACATGTGATCTGACTAACATAGCCAGGCCTGTCTCCATGTAGGCTCATTGGAGTGTGTCTTCTCATCTACTTATAACCCATCCTGAGTGTGTCCTTTTCATGCCTGCAGTGTCCCATACTGTATTAAAACTTCCTGGTATGAAAAAAAAAAAAATTGGAATCCTGAAATTTGCAGGCAAATGGATGGCACTAGAAGAAACCATCCTGAGTGAGGTAACCCAGTCACAAAAAGAGAAACATGGCATGTACTCTCTCATATATGGATTTTAGACATAGATCTGGGGAATGCCAGCCTACAATCCAATGGCCAGAGAGTCTGGGAAACAGAACCTTCATTCAGTGGCTGATGGAAGCAGAGGCAGACTCCCATGGCTAAGCACTGAGCTGAACTTAAGAAAACCAGTGACAGAGAGGGATGACTGATGAGCAAAGGGGTTAAGACTAGGCTGGTTTAACCCCCAGAAACAGCTGACCTGACAAGGGTTAGCTCTTGAATCCCAGACTGATGCCTGGGAATCCAGCATAGGACTGATCAAGACCACCTGAATGTGGGTGTCAGTGAGGAGGCCTAGGTAATCTTTATTGAGCCTTGGGTAGTAGATCAGTATTTATTCCGGGTATACAAATAGACTTTGGGCTCCATCCAACAATGAGAGATGCACTGGGAGGGTCTAGGCCCTGCCCTGGATGAAATGACAGACTATGGGCACCCCCATGGCGGGCCTCACCCTCCCTGGGGAAATAAGGGGATATTGGGGGGGCTGGTCGGAGGAGGGGAGGAAAAGGGAGAGGGACCTGGAATTGACATGTGAAGCAACCTTGGTTCTAATTTAAACTTAAATTTAAAAATAAAAAAATAAAATATATTAAAAAAAAAACGAACTTCCTGGTATGCCGGGCGTTGGTAGCACATGCCTTTAATCCCAGCACTCGGGAGGCAGAGACAGGTGAATCTTTGTGAGTTCAAGGCCAGCCTGGTCTACAGAGTGAGTTCCAGGAGAGCCACCAAAACAATACAGAGAAACCCTGTCTCGAAAAACCAAAAAAAAAAAAAAAAAAAATTAAAAAAGCTTCCTGGTAACCCTTGGAAATACAGTCCTGTGACAGATGCTTTCAGAAGAGGCACTGCAGCCTAGTTATAGGAACATTTTAAAGACCTGCAAGTTCTTTTGGAGAAGCCCTGTTCATGCAGGCAGGCTGAAAGGTACTGAACAAAATCAATAGCCAAGAAACTCCCAAGAGGTAGGTTTGTGGCTCAGAGACCCATGGGCCTAGTAGCAAGTGGGTTCAACCCACACTGTTGCTTGGAGTTCAGCTCTTCCCTGTTGGTGAAGATGAAGAGGCCACAGCTCCTAAAGAGCGCTTGGTCTTTGCAGTTGAGTGTACTGCAGGTAAAAAGCTGCCAAAACAGAAGTTTGGCATTGATCCAGAGGAATAAGCCTGCAGTAGACTCAAAGGTACTTATTCTTGTCATGAAAATAGTAGGTCCAGCAAAAGGGAATCCTAAATTTCTTCTTTTCTGTTTGTTTTCTCCATCTTGTTTCTTTTCTTTTTTTTTTTTTTGTTTTTTTGTTTTGTTTTGTTTTGTTTTGTTTTTCGAGACAGGGTTTCTCTGTGGCTTTGGGGGCTGTCCTGGAACTCACTTTGTAGACCAGGCTGGCCTCGAACTCACAGAGATCCGCCTGCCTCTGCCTCCCGAGTGCTGGGATTAAAGGTGTGGGCCACCAACGCCCGACCTTGTTTCCTTTCTTAACTTAGGTTCAGTTTTTATGATCTGGTCTCTGGAGGAAGAATTGACTCATTTTTTTAATTTTGAAAAATTTAAATCATGTCTCAAAGAACTAACTTTTACAGTAAAAGATTGTCCTATGAACCAGTACCAAAAAAAGGAAAAAAAAAAAGATATGGGGAAAGGATTCATTGGAAATTTAAATAAATCTGAAATATATAAATGAGTCACTCAGAGCAAGACCTGGTAGCATAGCCCTATAATCCAAGCTGTTTAGGAGGCCAGGACAGGAAGATTGCAAGTTCAAGGCCTTCCAGGGCACCTTAATGTGACTTGTCTCAAAATATTTTTGAAGATTGTTGTAAATCAAGGTATAGCTCAATGTTAGAGCACTTGTCTAGCGGGAGCAAGGCCCTGGGTTTGATCTTCACCTAATACCAGCTCTACTCCTGAGATAAACTATAACACTGAAACTGTACTGAGTTCTGATCTTCACCAGTGCAACTGGCAAAAATTCAGAAGCTGTCATGTGTTGTTTTGAAACTCATGGACTACAGGTTTTGCAATATGTTGCTAGCAGAAGTGTAAATTGACATAACCCTACAGAGGCCACATTGGCTGTTTCTACCAAAGTATCAAGTGAATGTAACTGTATACCTAGAATTTTAGGATTTATAATACAGATACATTTTTACTTATGAGACATTTTGCTAGCTTCTAGTTGGAAAAGAGTAGAAATTTGTTAAGAATGGACTGGAAAAATTAATAGTTTTGTGTTCAGGGAGGAATCTACATTGCCATAAAGATGTGAGGTCCTTTGAAGCATTATGAAAAATCTGGAGCTAATCATGGCTGTAATCCCAGCACTGGCCTCAGACTCTTTGTGTAGCCAGCCATGGTTGGCTAATTACAGTGGACAAGGTACAGAGTAGTGTGCACAGAACACCACTGGGCCGTGTAGGCTGGTCCAGGGGCCGTGAGTATGATGAGGTTTGCCTCCCCTGGAAAACTGCTATGTTAAAGCTCGAGCAACAGAGGTGCCTGCCTACTCTCTTAAGTTCTGAGCCACTTCTAGTTTTATATCTTTATATTGTACACGCAGCAGAAAGTGTCCTGTTACAGTCGTCTGGGTGACCATTGTTGTTAAAAGTTTTACAACATCAGCCTGATTTTCACTGTGACCTTAGCATGCTGTTGTATGTCCAGTAAAGATGACTTGCTTTGAGAACACATAGAGTAAAATTTCCATTTCCATTACTTGTATGTTTCAGGGACAGGCGTTTGCTTCAGCCTGCACAGGTGTGTGATATTTTGAAGGGTGTCATTTTGATAATCTGCTATTTTATGATGCACTATGTTGACTACTCCATGATGTACCACCTGATAAGAGGGCAGTCCGTCATCAAGCTCTATATCATCTACAACATGCTAGAGGTAAGGCCACTTGCTCCCTCCATGCTCAGTCTGACTCTGCTGCCTTCAGACTGGCCAGTACTCAAGACTTCAGGTCTAACAGTATAGAAGACATGGGGAGAAGACTGTTTGCTGTAGCTTCTGGTAAAGGTGCTTCACTCAGTTGAAGGTCTTGGGACAGTGAGATTCGGATTTAGTGGGGCTTGGGAGCTAAGCTTTTATTGAGGTAACACCTGAGTCAAATTGCCTTAAGACTTTTAGCTTAAGTTTTGAATTTTTTTAGGTTTTTCTTTTGTTTTGTTTTTGGTTTTAATTTGACAAAGTCAATTCAGATTCCCCAATGTGTTTGAGGAAGTAATAAGCTTTCTCTTCTTCGTCATCCCTTCCATATCGTACGACTCAGGTTTCCAACATTTGATTTTCATCTGATCGCTGGTAAGATACTCAAATGAGAAGTTAAGAGACCTCTCCACTATTCCCTCTGCAGGTAGCCGATCGTCTGTTCTCCTCATTTGGACAGGATATCTTAGATGCTCTCTACTGGACAGCCACAGAGCCTAAAGAAAGAAAAAGAGCACACATCGGAGTCATACCTCACTTTTTCATGGCTGTTCTCTATGTCTGTATCCTTTTAGACTTAGTAGACATTCCAGCCACCAGTGTGATTCTACCCTATTTCATTTGTTTACCTATCCCTACATGAAATGGTGTATGTATGAAGATTAAAATGAAATCCCTGATTTCTTTTGAAAAATTGGTTGTAATATCCATTGTAAATTAGTGTAAGCCTTCTGAATGCACAACTCCTTTTTCTTGTGATTGGTTGATTATAGTGAAAAGTTGATATCTATCTATAGTTTATATTCATACTGTATAACTATGAAGCTTAAGTGTTGTCTTTAAGTTTGCAATTTGCATGATACAGTTTTGGAGATTGTGTTTGTGTATCTGTGTGTACATATGTGTCACTTCAAGTTTTTCTTTTAGATAGCAAGTACTTTTTAACGTGTGTGTGTACCTGTACATGTTTGCAATCACATAGATTTACATACACGTGCATATCTACAAAACCAGGATTCATTCACAGGATTCTGTCATATCTTTTCCCTACTGTCAGTGACACTTTGAAGAAATTAGTACTTAAGAACAAAATGGGATAACACTTGTTCTCATTTTAGGTGGAACAAAGGTAAATTATCCCATGTGCAATATGATATATTCTACATGATGTGAAGAACAGTCTGAGATATTTCTTAACATTTCAGTCTCCTGTATCACTCAAGTAACCAAAGAAAAGCAATAGCACACTAACTTTTGATTCACTTTTAAACTGTAAATCATCATAATACAGAATGTATGTCTCTTAGTCTCTTCTCTCATTGTTTACATAATTTCTTCCATTTATTTAACATCATTTTGAGGGCTTTAATTCTTAAGCACTGTTCCAGGTGCCAAGGGTTCAGTTCTAAGTAATGAATGTATAGATTTCCTCTCTGCTTCTGCTTTTCTATATCAAATAGCTAATGCAAAAATTGTGATGATAAAATATTTGTTGGTCAGATAATTTCTCCCATTTTTGATGTTGTGTTAATTGTGAAAACAAGGTTTTTTCTTGACTTACTCTTAGTTCTACATGCAATTCTCATAATGGTTCAAGCAACAACTCTCAATGTGGCTTTTAACTCTCATAACAAGTCACTGCTTACCATCATGATGTCCAACAATGTAAGTGCGAAATTGTACTTTCTGTTGTTAGTTTAGGAAGGGTATACACACTAATACTGTGTACAAAAAATTCTTTGTTTACTCTTATCCTGACAAGCTTTCTGTGGAGGGGGATGATTTTTATAACTGTTAAAGTGATGAAGATGGTATTTCTGTTTCCATTTCAGTTTGTTGAAATTAAAGGAAGTGTTTTCAAGAAGTTTGAAAAGAACAATCTCTTTCAGATGTCAAATAGTGGTAAGTAGTTAGATTCTGATAGTAGCTGTAATTAACATTCATTGAAAGTGACTCATTACCATAAATAAATGTTGAATAATATTTTAATAAAAAGTAGTTGTATTTTAAAACCTTTTAAAAATCTTATTTTCTAAAACAAATCAGTATTTAGTGAGGTATTTTTCACATAGTAGTGTTAACATCTGGATAAATATTAAATGAAAGAACTTTGACCCCTGTCCTCCGTCAAACAAGTTAATTCAAAACTGTTTATTTCCATTAGCATAAGTGCTACATCTTAAAATTTCTAAAAAAAAATATAAGAGACTATATCCACAAGTTTTGTATAGGGAAACATTTTTAGAGACCACAAAAATATTACTAACCATAAGAAGAACATATAAGTTGAATTTCAAAATTTAAAAAATATATGCTGATTAAAAGTGAAAAGGCAGGGACTGGAGAGATGGCTCAGAGCTTAAGAGCACTGGCTGCTCTTAGACCTGTGTCTGTAACTCCAGACCCAGGAAATCCAACACCCCTTCTGGTCTCCATGGGTACTGCAAGTACATGGAGCACAGACACACCTTCAGGCAAAATACACATACACACAAAATAAAAATGAAGGAAACTCATTTTTAAAAAATGAAAAGGCAGATCACATGTATGTTAAGAGAAAATGTTAAGATAAGTAGATAGATAGATAGATAGATATCTGAAAAAGGACTTTATCATCCTTGAATATGTATTACAAATTCTGCCAGTTAATTATGAAAGAGAGATCTGATTTGGAGTAGCAGAAGACTTGGATTTTGAAAATAAAAGCTTATGAATGGCCTGTAGGTTCACACAAAGGTTCCTGGCATTATTAAGGAAAATATCATTAGGGAAATACAAAGGAAAATCAAATGAGATATCAATACATGGCCACCAGCATGCTCTTGGAGGCTGATAGTGCCAAACTGGGGAAGACAGGGACTAACTGGTTCTCCGTGCTTTGATGGTGAGTGTGAACTTTGCAACTACTCTAAAAAGCTTTGGGACAGCTTCTTTCTCAGTGTTTACCCGTCCTGTAATTCAGCACTGGGAGTTACTGTGGCAGCTCTACTCAGAGTATCCCCAAAGTGGAAACAACCCAGGATTCACAGAAACATAAATGAATGGTCGTACATACAAGCCATGTAATGCTACTTAGCAAATAAAGGAAAATGGAGCCTGGACAAGTAGCCTGGTTGCTAAAGTTAGTTTTCTACTGAAGCCTGAATACCGGAGTCTTATTGTGAGAACACATGTAAAGCTGGGTGTGGTGTCACACACCTTTAATCTCAGCCTTGGGGAAGTAGACAGGTGGATCTCCGAGGCTGCTAGCAGTCAGCCTGATCTACTAATGACCCTTGGCACAGTGAAAGTCCCTATCAAAAGGGAGGTGTATGGATCCTGAGAAAACCACCTCTGGCCTCTACACACATCTATACAAACATCAACACATCCACACAGCACCAGACAAATTAAATAAAACTAAAGGGAAAAATGGGTTACTGATATATCCTGCTATGTACATCTCAAGCATTATGTTCAGCAACAAACACTGGCCTCAAAAGGTATGCTTTAATTTTGTTTTTCTGAGGTCTATGATCAGACAAAATTAACTTACGATGACAGAAATGAGAGTGGTTACTTGTTGGGGATGGAATATGACTGGAGGAAGGGTCAAAGGAACTTTCTTGTTGGTAGAACTCTTTTGTATCTAGTAAAAATGGCACCAGAGATTACCAGCCTATTTACTCAAGATCTGTATGGAAAATAATGACAAAAATAATGGTGTATGAGTAAATAAAGCAAACATCTTAGAATTGTAGACTTGAAAACTTCAAGGAATAAAAAGGACGAATGGGAGATTACTAAGGTCTAGACAGTTCTGTGGGGCTGCCCATGATGGATCTGACAGCTCTGAGCCACAGCATCATTTAGATGAAATTTTGCTTTACTATGAAAAACCTTTTTAAAGATTTGAGGTGTGTTTTAGTAATGCTCACAGTTTAAATAAATAAATCCTTGCCTTCAAGATGTATATAAAATATTAAAATATAAAAAAGTAGAAAGCACCAGAATAAAACTTCTTTTTAATATTCCATGGTTTCATTTTCATATTTAGGGTGATAGATTTTTTTAAATAAAAAATTTAATTTTTATCTTGTCAACTTTTCTTAATATTTAAAATTACCATTTTTCATAGTGTAAACTTGTATTTATCCATCAGAAATGGTTAGTTTTTACTCATTTCTCATATTTTGAATCACCTGTTTTCCGAACTGTTTTCTTCAAGAGCCCCTGAAGATAGTGTTTCCCTCCTCCATAAGTGCCCTTCAGCAGGCACAGCTGTGGGGGTTGTGTATTGCAGCTTCTACATGTGAGAGTCGGATACAAGCTTAAATACTGCTCTCACTCTAGTTCCATTATGCTCAGAAGCCTGCTTAGCTCGCTTCAAATGATATGCTGTTTCCTTCCAGATAACTGGGTTAAAATACAGCCATTCTCAATAGGATGATTAAAATGAGTACATATCTTCGTTAACTTTGTGAATAAAAAATAGAAAGAATTGCCAGGCGTTGGTGGCCCACGCCTTTAATCCCAGCACTCGGGAGGCAGAGGCAGGTGGATCTCTGTGAGTCCAAGGCCAGCCTGATCTACAGAGCCAGTTCCATGACAGCCTCCAAAACAATACAGAGAAATCCTATCTCAAAAAACAAAAACAAAAACAAAAAAAAAAAGAATTTAGCACATATACAGAGACCAATTTGTGAATAACTGTATAAATCCCAGTTACAGGTACATTAAGAAAAGCACCACCATGAGTTCAGATCCATCTCCAAGGAAACACAGACAGTCTTCCTCCCTTTGGGCTGACTTTGCTTAGAGCTGTGTGTGCTAGGACAGACTTTAAGATACATCCCTGTGAAATCATGTGAAAGAATATGCACGTGTGTGGTGGTCAGAATGTGCACTAAAACCCCACATAGGCTCTTGCAGTTTTGTTCCGCATTTCAAAGGGGGTGTGTGTGTACTCTACACCTCGAAACTCATTGCTCATATAACTTACAAATAGTACTGTGTAAGGAGTCATACTGTGGCTTAATGGATAGCACAGAATCTGAAGAGATGCAGCGTGCTGACAGGTGGTGCCACAGTCAGGTCGTATGGAAGCTTTGTGAGTGACAGTATCTAGCCACAGCTCCTACACTTACACACACGCACACACACACAACATGGTACTCACTGTCACATACACTTATTTCTTAACTACATGATAATGTGGGACTCCTAGGAGAAAGTATCAGCTGAAAAAAATTATATAAGCTGTCTTTGACAGGAATTCAATTCTTTATTTTCATTAAGTTCATTCCAGTTAATCAGCTAGTTATTAACTTAAGGCAAACACTACTGTGAAATTTAATTCCACGTAAACGCACACACAAAAGAAATTCTCAGCATTCCACCAAGCTATGCTATTACAATGCCAGTATTCTCCTCAGAAATTACATACACATTCGTTACCAGGTTAGATATTTCCTGGAAGCACACAAGTTTTATTTTGCCCAAAGTCTTGTATTTTGTTCTATGATTCTATTTTTCTTCTTCTATAAAATGAAAACACTTCTCATATATTTCCAAAGACTATTGGAGGCATTTAATGGCCAAGTTTGAACATTTTAATTTTTTTTTAATTTCCATACTAGAAATATGTGGGAAGATGAAGTAATGGCTGGCACACATGGGTGTGTGTGCACATGCACATTCACAGTCAGCTGCGAGTCCTCTAGGGCTGAAGGAGATATTCCAAACAGAAGTCACCTCTGCATTGACCCTGTGAGCGCTTTTCCTCACCTTCCCTGCAGAGCGTATGGTAACAACTGTATACATTGTACATGTGAGCACTTTTCTAGTCACCTTCCCTGCAGAGCATATGTAACAACTGTATACATTGAACATGTGAGCACTTTTCTCATCACCTTCTCTGCAGAGCGTATTGTAACAACTGTATACATTGCTCTTAAGTTGTATCAAATATGAGGGATATAGAGATGACTTAGCACATAGGACAGAAGGTGCTAGGTAATGTACAGATAGTGCAGTGTTTTATATAAGGGACCTAAGCACTGTGAACTTTGGCATCTAAAAGGGAACCCCATGGGTTCAAAAAAACACCTTTTTTTTTTACAGTTTTAATAGAATTATTTTATTTCCCTATTTATGCATTTTAGCACTTAATGTTCAATTCTCTCTCCTTTTTTTTTTTTTTAGATATTAAGGAGCGATTCACAAATTATGTGCTTTTGCTAATAGTGTGCTTAAGAAACATGGAACAGTTTTCTTGGAACCCGGGTGAGTGCCTCCTGAATCAAATGTGGTGTCCTGTAAGTTTACTCTTCAGTTCTTGTTTGGGGCCTTGGAAGGATGCTGTGAGTGTGTTTATGAGCTATGTAGTGCTGAACTGAGGTCTTACTAAAGTAAGCAGTTAAATTAAGCAGCTACAGTAAATTGTGTCTATGTGACTCTGAAATAAAATGAACTAGATCTATAAGTAACAGGAATCAAAGAGGAAAGGGCTTCAACATACCCACTCGGCATTCTTAGGACCCACTTACCGTAGCCATCTCTCCAATGTGGTTTCCACATAGGCAGGGGCTCTGCTGGACGCTGGCCTGCATGTGAAGTGGGGCTAGGACAGTGCAAACTACTGAATAAGATTATCCTTTAACTTGTAAAACATGGCTCTGGCAGTGAAGGTCATTATTAAGAGAATGCTAGTTCTGCGTATTAATTGAAAATACTGAAGTGTGCCCTGTTGTAGGTTCCAGGTTTCTGGGAGTTTCAGGGACAGGCTCATTGTCTATATGAAGAGGTCTAATTGTCTGCTTCTTCCCCACTTTGTAGATCACCTCTGGGTATTGTTTCCCGATGTCTGTATGGTGATTGCATCAGAAATTGCTGTGGATATTGTAAAACACGCCTTTATCACCAAGTTCAATGACATCACTGCAGATGTATGTATTTCTAGCAATTCCTACTTAATGTTTCCTTGACTCTTTGTCATCTTTAAAGTGTAACCTTAGGTTTATTGTATTTATGAAAAATGAGTTATTAAAATCATACTGGGCCTATTTTTAGAATAGCATCATCAAAACCTTGACAAATTTGCAAAATATTTCTTATTTAAAAATAGGTGGGGGTTTTTTCTGTGAATATAAACATGTACCTAAATCTTGGGGACAAGTTGTGCATTTTACTTGTGAACTCACTTAAGAAAGGTTTCGAGGGGTTTGCTTTGTGTTGTAACCATTTTCTCTAGTATCTTTAGAAATAGCTCTGCGGCTATAAATCACTACACAGATACGTGAAGGTGGAGAGTGTCATGTCACAGCCTCATCCTTAGTCCCAGACAGAGAATTGGCTCAGCAGCTTCCTTGATTTTCTTGAGTTATATTTCTGACAGCCATATTTGACAACTTATTTATTATTTAGCTCAAAATGAATGCAGGATCAGTTACAAAATTCTGTTTCTGGTTTTATAAATGCTTAAAAGTATGTTTCTATCCTTTTAGCAAAGCAGGAATCAGTTTGAATTCACCATTTTCTCTCTTGGCTTCCTCAATACAGGATGGTTCTCTTTTCATAGGGTCATTTTCTCAGTACCTGAAATTAAAATTAAAGGTTTTACTCAGGTAGTTCATGCCATTTTTAGAGGGAATACAGTTGTCACACTCCCTAGTGGCTGCTACAATGGCTCTGATGAGGTCCAGCCTATTTCTATCTCACTATCAGCATCCTTTTGGGGAAGGTATAATTGTTGTAATTAAACACACAGTTATAGTACTTAACTGTGCACTCAAAATTGCAGGGTTATTTTTTTGATATAGCACTTCTTAAAACAGCCACTTCTTCCTAAATTCTAAATTCTAGAATGACAGGCATTGGCTGTTAACCCCTCTCAGAAGCAAATGATTTCAAAGCCCATGAATGAGCGGCTTAGCGGAACTTAGACTGTTGTCCTCAAGCTCTGGGTGTCTGCTTGCTCATTAGCGTCTGTCCCTGAATAGTTAGGAAGCATTTTTATCTACAACGTCTAAATATTTCCACGGTGTGTATGTTCTAGACTATATCTTACTTTTTTTCTTATTTGCCTTCAGGTCTACAGTGAATATAGAGCCAGCCTTGCTTTTGACCTTGTTAGCAGCCGACAGAAAAATGTGAGCATTTCATTAAAGGTGTTGACTGAAATTAACTCCAGTGGTTAAATGTACTACAGCTAAAATTTCACACTTGAACTTGTCTTTTCTAGAGATTAAATATTTATACAACAGTAACATTAAATACGTATCTTTCTGAAACATTGTAGCAATGATGTAACTTCTTATTCAAAATGTGCAGTGACAGTTTAGGCTCCTGCACTCTTCTGCTTGGTTATGCGTTCTTCTGTTCATACTGCACCTGTTCAGAGTGTGTGCTGACAAGTGAATGGTGCTTTCTAGATGCTAACTAAACTGAGTGAGTCCTTTTCTCCTATCTCTGCAGGCATATACGGACTACAGTGACTCGGTAGCACGGAGAATGGGATTTATTCCTCTCCCGCTAGCTGTCTTAGTAAGTTCATGCTTTTCTGTTTTCATAATGAGATGGATATCATCATAAAACATCAGTATGTATTATCAGTAAGTCTGTTTTCATAATGAGATGCCGTCATTATGTATGTATTATCAGTAAGTTTGTTTCAACGGGTCTTTATATTTCAAAAAATGGTAAGTAAACCGAAAGAAAAATTTGTCTTAAATTTTAAATTCATTGTTCCTTTGGATTTTGAGCTATTCAGCAGAAGAGTGACATCACAGAACTGCTTATCCAAACAGCTTTCCTAACAAAGAGGCTATTCTTTTGCTTAATCATTGGGTAAAGAATTTTCTTCTCTAATGGATATACCCGGAGGCGGAACATGGAGGTGGCAGCATAACTCACCCTGTTTCTAGAGGACACTTTGATGTGATGTGATGTACTGGATGCCATCAATCCAGTGCTGGAAATTCATGCTAAGGAAATAAATGCAGAATGCACAGTGTGAGTGGTGAGCAGGTCTGAGCATCACAGTGTGGTTACACGTTCTGCACAACTGGGTCCCGCATCGAAACATGTAGATCTGTCTTCTTATCACAGGACCAAAAGCAGATGTGCGCTGCAAGTCAACTAGCAAATTCACAAGAAAACTGGAAGTTGGAAAAGCTATGTTTAGATTTTACCCAGTGTTTCTAGAGGATATCCTAAACATTGTTATGGTTTTAATTGCTTATAATATAGTAATTATAATATAGTAATACAAATTTCTTTTGCTTTGGAAAAGAAACTCCTAACATTTTAGAGAAGCTCAGATTTTGAAGATTATTTAATAAAAGTTAAAGAAATAGAAAAAATAGCATGTCAAATTTTTCTAGTTTTATTTCTTGGTATTAGAAACATGATATATTCAGTCATGAGAGTAAATCTAGATTGTGCAACTGTTTTTATAAAAGGATTAGTTAAATGGGAGTAGCCCTTTCTCTGCTAGAGGCTGTGGCACAGGTAAGGACTCCATGGTGGTTTTCCTCACAATAAAACTTGATTGAACATATGACAGTCCATTCCCTTATCTCATTTCTGTTGGTCTTTTTATTTGTAGCATTTTAACTGTATTTACGGCATCACAATAGAATCTTGACATTACTGGGTGAGGCCAGGTATCTCTGCTTCATTTCCATGTAACCACTCTCAGGACCTGCACCTGTAATGTGTAAATGCTTTCTCTCAGCTGCTCCCACCAGATTGATTCCACAGGCTTCTGGGGATAATACATCTATGTCTATATTTCTATTACATAAGAAACTAGGTGGTAGCTATAGCTAACCAAAGAGACAGAGCTTCATGGCTTTTAAGTAATTAATAGTGTGCTTAGTTTCTTAACAATGCAAGTCTTCCTTTGCTCTATGTTCCCTGCAAGTTATTGGGGTTCTTAAAGAATTTGAACAACAGACAGGAAAAAAACAGGAATGAGAAAAATGCCCACTTGGTATTATCTCTAGCAAGAACTAGAGGAGCTTCGTCAGGCAGACCTTGTACTTTGAGTTTCCTGCACCTCTGTTAGGTATTAAGTAGAAAGCACCGTCAGACCAGGCATTGGTGGTGCACACCATAATCCCAGCACTCGGGAGGCAGAGGCAGGTGGATCTTTGTGAGTTTGAGGCCAGCCTGGTCTACAGAGCAAGTTCCAGGACAGCCTCCAAAACAATAGGGAGAAACCCTGTCTCTAAAAACCAAAAAAAAAAAAAAAAAAAGCACCATCATCAGTGATGTAGCCTGCCGCCTGAGATTTCAGAGAGTCTGTGGCAGCTGTGCCACATGCTGGGTCTGCCTGTGCAAACCCAAGCCTCCACAGATGCCATAGGCGGCTAGGAGGCAGATTATCAATGAATTGGAAAGTCTAGACCCAACCTCTTGGATTTAGATGCAAGTATACCCTAAGATGTTAAAATAGAAAGAAAAAATATTTTTTAAGTATTAACTAATAACTCTATGGTTGTGTTTTGTCTGTGTGTTTTTGTGTTTTGGTTTGTTTTTGGATAGCTCATCAGAGTTGTAACAAGCTCAATTAAAGTGCAAGGAATCCTGTCCTATGCCTGTGTCATACTCTTCTATTTTGGGTAAGATTAACTGTTCTTGAATACGTTTTGATTTTACAGTAAAGTATGTATAACTGCAAGATGTAATAGAAGCTAAGTGTACCCAAAATTATTTTTCTTAATCTATGTACTTAAGTTTGAATCTTTAACCAAAAGTTTACAGTGAGGGCTTTTTGTTGAAGATTTATATTCCATTCATACTTTATTTTGGGGTAAAGTCTTTCACTGCATTAATTTTTCCATATTTAGAAATACCTTTGATTCTCCTGTGTGCCTGCCAAGGTTAATATTCAGCACACTGGGCTTGTGTGACATCAAGCTAATAATGCCAACGGAACCTTCTGTGGATTTGTTGATCCCAACTAGCTTACATTTCTGGTTGGGAAACACAAGCAGGAAGTAAACAGCTTAATTTATGATAATCATACATGGTAATAAGAAAATGGTGATGTTTAATGTTGTTTTGCTACTGTTTGATGTTTCTCAAGAAGTGAACTAACAAATAGCTCACCTGAGTTCTGATGACTTCACCCAAAGGGAAATCTCGGAAACCCATAGCTGAGCTGGCTTGTGTGGGGAGCATGGGCATGAGTGCTGGAGAATGCCGGTCTGTGGGAGAGTACAGGCCTGAGCGCCTCCAGAGGAGAAGGAGTGACATCAGTCCCGACTTCCCTCAGTCTGCTTTCCAAAGGCATGGGCGATGTCCCAGCTTCATGGCCGAGTGTTTTGTCTATCTTCCCGGTCCCGTGCAATGCCTGGCGTGTGACAGGTACCTGCATGCTGCTCAGAACATGACAGGTACCTGAGACTGTCCAAACAGCTCAGACATGGTCACTTCTGTGGGCTGCACTTGAGATCCCTCACTCACTGCAAGTCATGAGTGCTTCCCAGTGCCTGTCTGAGCCCTCCTGCAGAGCTGTGTCTGGGTGAGTGACTGATTGCAGTGACAACACCAGGATGTAACTCTGATTGAGTGCTGTGACTACAGGTGTGTACCTGTGGTTTATGCTGCTCTGGGCTTGAAACTCAGAGCTTTGTGCATGCTAAGGACATGCTCTGCTAACTGAACCCACAATTATTTTGTTGTTTTTGAGACAGGATCTCACTTAGCACAGGTTAGCCTGGAGCTCGCTATGTACCAAAGGCTGGTGTTCAACTCCTGATTCTCCTTCCTCTGCCTCCTGAGTTCTGGGATTACTGACAACATGCCACTATACCCAGCTCTCTTAAGTTGTTTGACATTAAGTTTTGTACATTAAATTATACAATATTAGAGATTTTATGTCATACTTTCTTTTTAAGATAAGAGTTAAAACTCCCATCCCAGAAAATTGATTTTTATTTTCATGTTCTGAACTCTGCCATCCTTTTGTGCATTTCCCCTGAGCTGTTTCTTCCTTTGACTGTAATCACACGGGCCTTTTCTCTCTCTCCTTTTCTCTTACTAATATGCCAAACATGTTCCAACTACACACTGAATGAAGGCAGAGTTAAAACTTTGATCTACGTGCTATTTTTGAGGATTATTTTTAAGGAGATTTCTTTGTACTTAGACTGCATAACAATAGACATTAAACTATTTCTTAAAAACAAAAAAAAAGTCATGATGCTCCTTCTGTAGTTCAGGGCCCCACAGCCCGCCTTTGGTGTTAGCATAGTTCGCTGTTTCCGCTTGCACCCATCTTTGTTTAAAGCTAATTGCTCTCATAGTCTGACCATAAATCAGGAAAGTGAAACTTGAATATAGCATACCTGAAACCCTGTCACACGCCAGGCATTGCACGGGACCAGGAAGATACGCAAAGCACTCAGCCATGAAGCTGGAACATCGCCCATGCCTTTGGAAAGCAGACTGAGGGAAGTCGGGACTGATGTCACTCCTTCTCCTCTGGAGGTGCTCAGGCCTGTACTCTCCCACAGACCGGCATTCTCCAGCACTCATGCCCATGCTCCCCACACAAGCCAGCTCAGCTACGGGTTTCCCAGATTTCCCTTTGGGCGAAGTCACCAGAACTCACTTTGGATGTATGCGTGTCAGCTGTGGAGGGACAATGTGACCACCATTGCCCTTCCCCATCCATTCAGCAGTCTTGGCTACCAGGTTGTGTGCTGTTCTAAGGATCAGCTAAAAAGAAGATAAGGTCTGTCCCTCGGTGTCACTGAAATTGTGGTGTGCAAACAAACTGACAGGAGATTCATTCTGAAGAGACTGCTGTAGTAAGCAGGGGGAAAAGAAATGTGGAGGGGGAAGAGATGGAGAGTAACGGGAGGACTGCTTACGTTGTGAGCACAGCAGAAAGCAAGTGTGTTGACCCAGGGAACACAGGGTGCAAACCTAGTGGATAAGAAAGTCCCCGACAGGGGGAGATAGCTCCAGGTTCTCACAAGAGGGAGTTCGTAAGAGCCGATCAACTGTGTGGAGGGTGGGTGGAGTGTAGCAGGAACAACGACTTAGGAAGCAGTGGCACCACCAGGAAAACATGGCCGGGGCCGAGATGGAAGGTTGGCACTTGTCAGCCGGATGCATGTTGCTTGTGCATGGAATAGAAAGGAACGGGAACGGCTGTGATAGAAGCTTGTGGCAGAAGCAACATTCAGGGGTGCAGAGATGAGGGCCTTCCCTATGAAAGGATGCCTAGAATCTAGAATTTGGGATTGGTTTGGTAAGTTTGGAATTCTCTTAGGCAGAACTGTGGAAGCAAGGAAGGAGTGAAGGTAAGATTTGGGGAACCCTGCAGCTGGCAGTGAATTTGCACTGTGGGGCCGTGGGACTGTCTGCGTGGGACTGTCTGCGCTATGTTCTGAGACTGAGTGAAAGACCTGAGGACCAGGCAGGAATTCTCATCTGTTTCATGCATTGACTCACATACAAGTTAATTCGCTGATGATTCTCGGTGGCTTGTAATTCCATGTTACTGACAGTGTTTCATCTCAGGCACAAAACCAGTAACCTCCTGTTCACTCATGCTGAAGCTGTCAGTCATAGCCCGCAGTATGTAAGAAGATGTGAATGGGATACTACAGTCTCAGAGTCATTTAAAATATTACATAGTTAGTGGCCAAAAATGCCCTTGTCTGTAATTATAGGTGTTAGCAATTTAATGAAGTAAAGGTTTAAGCTTTTCTTAATTACAACCTTATATGTCTGTCACAAGAAGTATTCCAGAGGCAAACTGAGTCAGAATCAGTTACTGTCGAGTGAGAGAATGTCATGCACCAGAATTTTCTGATCGCTGTAGAAGGTGCTGTTTGATGCAAGAGGTGCTTAATATTAATATAAAGAGCTATATGAATGTAATGTCATTGTTTTTACTATCATCTTCAGTATCAGCTACAGTCTGAGCTCTAACTCTGTTTGTAAATCAATGAGATGGTACTAGACTGAATAGACTCTGCTATGGAGTCATGTCCCAGAGCATGGTCTACTACCACCTGCTTGAAGTCCCCTGTGTTTGTCCCAGTTCTGCTGTTTGTATTTACTGCACATATCCAGGTTCTGATGTTGATAGAATGATGAGAAGAAGAGTTCTATGTCGACTTTTTGAGGCTCGCGATCCAGGTCCGCCTGGTCGCAGGCAGGCGCCAGATGCGCACGAGGCTGAGTCCAAAGAGGCAGGTAAGGTTCGCCATCGATGGAATCGCTGAGTTTAGCTTTCTTCTATCTAGGCGTCTGAGCATAAGATCGGGAGGTCTGAATGAGAGGCTGGCGTCGACCGATCACGCCCGAACCCGATCCCGATCTGGCCACCGCCGTCGTCTGGTCTGAGCGCCAGGCGTCGATCGCGTCGAGTCTGAGCGATGTCCGAGCTGGTCCTCGCGCCGCGAACCCGGTGCTGCCCCGGTCGTGCCTGCGCCAGCCAGGTGCACAGGCTGCGAGCTGAGGAGAGAAAGGCGAGTCCTCCGCCGAGTGACTCTGCGGTCCTTCGTCCGAGCGTCGCTCTGGCAGGCTGTCGGTAGTCGCCGTCTGGTTCCTTCCAGCAGTAACGTACGCAGCTGTTCGTTGTTGGCTTGGAACGCCGATCCTGCCGCAGTATCGAAACAGCTCAGCGTGGTGACCGAACGGCAAGTGACTTGCTGAACACTTACCGCAGGTCAGTGCCAATGCGGCGCCGGCAGGCGGAGGTAGTGCTGCGCCGGTACGGAGTCGTATCACGAAGTGGTGTCGCAAGCAGCAAATCATGAAGTCCACATGTGAATCATGGATGCTGAACATGACTGGAATATGGATTTGAACATCAAAGAAAACTGCAACATGGAATGTATATCTTACAAAGATAGTTTGACTCAGTGAAGGCTCTAAACCTATGAAACCCTTATGCTCAGAGCCCTGTCACTCTTGCAAGGCCCTTGGCTTAGACTTGAAAGGGAAAGGAGGCCAGTGTATTCAGACAGTGCCCAGCTATGCTGCAGCATATAAAGTTTGTTCAGACAGAGTAAAGGAGACACAGCTAGTCCAGGGTCTGATTCAAGGTCATGTGTCTATTCTCAGAAACTAAAGTGGAAGCTCGAGTTTTAGATGGTTCGTCACTCTAAGAACATGTGAGTGCTGTTAGTGCTGTGAAGATCGCAAGAGCATCAGCGTGCACTCTCTTACTTAAGAAATTAGTGATGTCCATCTTACGTTAAAGAGCTGCCAGTCTAATGGAAGCTGGCCATTAGATGAGGGCCATGTCATGTCTCATGAAGCACATGTAAGAGGAGTGTCTGTGAAGGATGCCCTAGAGGTCAAGAGACAGCAAGCTAGAGATGATAGAGGGGGGTTGAAGTCAGGCCCTGAAGAGGGGTGGAAGTCAACACTGAAGACAGTGTTAGCGCTTTACCTTCTCAGAGCTCTACTTAGCCCTTCAGAGTTCTGAGTGACGAGCAAGTTCTGTTTTCCACTCAAGCGATAGTCATGTTGGTTTGTGGTTGTGTAAGAGGGAAGCGTAAAGACAGATGCTTTCCAGAATCAGGTGGTAGTGTTACCTATGAGGGAGGGTAAAATTTTGAATGAACAGAATTTGAGTAGCCTCTGAATTTCATTATAAGTTACAGCTTACACAGTATGCTTTTAGTTTTCATTTGTTTTAACATATACTTTTCATCACCCTTGAAAACATGGTGTTTGATAAGCGTTTATTGTGACCAAAGGGCAGTCCTTTCCTAATTGAGTGGATTTGCTTTACCACAGGCCTTTCCACAGAAGAAAACCTGTCTACTTCCATCACCAGCCAGCCTGTTCATCAGAAAGAAAACGTCATACCCTTACTTGTGACGAGCAATTCTGATCAGTTTCTGACGACTCCGGATGGAGATGAGAAGGACATAACACAGGAAAACTCTGAATTAAAACACAGATCCTCAAAGAAAGACTTGCTAGAGATAGACAGGTTCACAATCTGTGGGAACCGGATTGACTGAATTTGTGGCTGATGAGGTGAAGATGCCGGGCCCCCAGACCACAAATGCTGGTCTGCCAGGACACACTTGCTAAAAAATGGCACTTAAATATTTATTTAAAAACTTAAATTATTAATGGCAAGCAAATCTTAGTATCTTTCTTCCAGTAA